AATCAGATTAAGACTTCAATCGACGTATGGATCTATTATCCGCCGTAGTTATTGGCAAAATCCATTAACTCCCGAGTAGTTCTGAACTTGTCCATCAAACTACACACTTCCTCTTCTTGTTCTCCTGACAGAGGACGACTACTTATATACAAGCCCCGCTGACCCACATGGAAGTGATGCACAAAATTTCATCACTCGGTACTCCTTCCCGATCGCACGAATTACAAGGAATGTCAGGCAAGCGACATCTTCTAGCCTAAATCGACTGCTATTGATGCATAGACATAGAAAGACGTGGAGGTACCCCTTTGAAATTCACGGAAGTCCTCCAGGAAGCTGTCTAGAGATCCATAGCAAGTTATAACCATCCGTTCAAAAACGATGGTATTGTTACCGTGTGCCATTGTTGGTATCAGCGTGGAAATGGTAGCTGACATTGCGTTGTGGTATTAATACTTTTTGGACAAAGTCAATTAAGAATAACTGAAAGAAATAAAACGTTTAGAAACGATAGAAATTCAAATTAAATCAAAACCACCATGACGTGCAGAAAAACCGAGGTTTTTGTCCTACTATAGAGGAATAAGGTTTGCAGGCTTAGGCTCCGTTTTTCGTAAGGGTATTAACATCCTAGAGAGATTCCAACATCTAAACACAAGGAAGACAGCTGAGCAACGAAGGAAAAGCTATGAGCAGCGACTAAAGGATCTACCTTTTTGCGTCAACACCGTAGATACCGACTGTTATGGGGCTATGCTTTTGAGATCGCAGATGAGAGCATGTCAGAAAGCCGCCATGAATATATGAATTAGTTTGGGTGATTAGTGTACCACGTCGTAATTTGCTATCTCCCATAATTGGCTCAAGCTATACAAATTAAGAAGTCGTAATATGATACAGTATTCAGACCGGTGCGTGACACAAAGGCGGCTGGGTAGTGGATGCACCTATATCTCATACTAAACCCGATTGCAAATGCAATGGATTAGCAGCGATGTCCACCAAATCAAAACTCTGATGTGACCCGACTCACCTGACACTGCGAGACGAAATTTGTAACTGACCTGCGGTGAAGGCGCGTTTGGAACAACAAACCCAATTACGGTCACTACGTCTCTAAGCTTTCACTGGGTGTGCCCAATTTCTTGCAAATCTCCATAATAAATAGTTTGAAATGGAGTCAAACAGTTACGCGCCTGTTTCGATCTAAAACGGGTCGCTCTAGTTCACGTGGAGCAGACGAGCATGACCCGACTACTCCAGTCACTCAGTGTTGTATGTAGCTTGGGTCCCGAGGGCTGTGATAAGAACATGCTGTGTTGAATTCCCAGCAAAGTCTAGTTTCTGTCTTACAGTTTACAGACTCACTAGCTACTACTGCCCCAAATTCATTCACAGACATGACGCCTTTAGGGCGTTTAGTATAGCACTTAAACATTGTGCTCCTATTTTCGAACAACAAAACGATGGTCGTTATCTATCATAAGAGACCAGTGCAAACACATGTAAGATGGTCTGTTTTTGCTTCTGTACATGCGGTTGAAGCCAGGCTGATATACAGTGTGAGTGCAGGAGGGTGGCTAACCTTCAGTGAGGTGGGTAGGCGAGCTCGCGGAAGGTTTCGGGAGACGGATTTGCGATAAAAATCCTCGATAAAAACTTCAATATTTCAAGGATTAACTACCCTCGTTTTCTTCTTAATGCACTCCCCATTCAAATTATTTCTCCTTCGTTGACCCACAAATGTGACCAGTGCAGGTGTTAATCAAACCGAATCTAACCTAGGCCGAAATCCAAATTTTTACATATGAAAGATTATCTTTTACAGCATAAATTACTAGCAAACGAGTATATCCGCAAATGAATCCAGCTAATGCAAATAATTTGAGCAAAAGGAAAACTTGGTAGCCGAAGCAAGACGAGAACACGGAGCTGATAGTGAAAGAAGCTGGACAAATATTTGCTTTCTGTGACTTTGTCTGACCTGATGCTTTTATCAACAAATATACAAGATAGATAATAGGAAATTATGTTCATCTTACTCAAGGGGTATCACAATAATGGTCAGGTTAGGTCGGATCATAGGACTGTGTGCTTTTGCTAGGAGACGTCCAGTTGTTTGCACCTGCAAGCTGATGGTTCTCCTTGTGCTTTGATTGCTGCAATCTCAATCGTTTGACAGGTGCTGCACCTAAACGAACTGNCCCCTGCCATAAGAGCTGCCCGGGGACTGTGAGTTATTGTGCTAGTCAGCGGTAAGCGGTGTACAAGAGTGACAGTGTGGTAGAGAAAACGTTGGGTGAGGGAGATGTGGAATGTAACTGTGAGATTGTCGCTAGTCGTAATCCGGGAACACCTCTTCCTATCAGATGTCCGGCTTTCGTTTGAAGTGAGCAACAGAGATCACTGCCACTGCCGTCGGTCGTAATTTATTCCATTCGTTTACCACATGATAGGAGATAAGTAACGCCCTGCCGCTCCCGTTGACCCACAGTTTCATTACTTTCAGTTCATGTCCTCTAATGGTTAGATTGTTTGAGTTTCTGTCAGTTACTAATGGCCCCTTTGGTATTTAAAACGTCTCAATAAGTCCCCCTCAAACGGCGGCGATACAATGGTAGCAAGCCGGAAACCATCAGTCGCTCCTTGTATGACCACCCCTAAAGCCCACTTATCATTGTGGTGAACCTTCTCAAAACTGCGCCGAGCAGCTTTTTGTCCCTAATTAGATTAAGAGCCCATGCTTAAACTCCAAGCTGGGGACTCAATTTACGTTCTTCCGTATCACTCTCAAAGATGAATCGACTACTGTTTTGAGGTCATCCGCAAATAGGAACCCAGCGCACTGAAAGACCACAGTGATGTTGACATACATCACAAACAGCAAAGGATCTAATACCGAACCCTTATGAACCCCACTGAAGGACGCAGCCGTTTTCCAGGTATCCTGATCCACTCTGAAGCGAAACGTCTTCCCTTGTAGGTAAAATTTGATTAATCTCAACATCTGCTGGTTTATTCCGAGGACTCCCAGTTTGTGGAACAGTAGTCTGTGGTTGACCGAGTCAAAGGCTCTTCGAAAATCAGCGTGGAGTATTTCGACTTGATCTTCTACTTCCAATCTTCATTCAAGAATGATGGGAGTTTTGTGAAGCATAATTTCTTATTTACGAAATTATATTGTTCGGCTGCTGTGATATATTGTGGGTTCAGAAATTTTGCTAATCTTCCCCTAATAAGGCATTCGTATGACTTCAGTAGCTTTGAGAACAGGCTTACAAAATGGTAGTTAGGGACAGCTGCCTATGAACCACCCATGTGGATTGGCACTATCGCTGTGGTTCAGTCGGACGGCAGCGTTATGGGAGTTGTTGGAAATCTGTGTCAGTGCACCTGAAATGATGTCAGCTAGTGAATGTAAAATGGCTGCATAAAGTTCATCTGGCCCCGTGGTCTTTTGCTCGTTTAGTTGCCCCATCGCTACGTCCACCCCCACCTCTATGACAATCTGCGTCACGGGCTTTCCAGAGTGCATT